GAAGAGCGGGTGAGGATGCTTTAAAAGTAGCCCCTGGTTCCCCAGCCACAGAAATGATGGCTATGTCCAGGATAGCTGCATCCTGCAGCCTGAGGACTAATGGTTTAATCTGATCCAATCTGCAACAGTCCTACCAGAACAGCTTGGGGCTGGTCAAGGGTCCCCCACGTCCTAGAGATCAATCTGTAAAGCTCTGCCATCTCTTCCTGTGATTGGAAGATTAAAGGATGACATTTCATCCTAAAGTCTGCCTGCAAGTGTTCAGGATGTCTGGGAGAGAAAAAAATATCATAGCCAAAAGGAGCTGCTTCTAACGTTCTTTACTACAGGACACTTCAGCTCTGTGTTAGTTAGCCAGCCAGTCATAAACAAAACTTCCCTCTCTCCAAAATCAGGAGCACCTTGCTACATGCTGATGGTGCTTCTGCATTGCACGGACACTCCACAGCACCTGGAGCCTTACTGATATTCATCCAGCAGCAGCCTGTACATCCACTCTCCGTCTGCTGGGAGAGCTGTCACTGCTCTCACAGGGAGAGCTCATCTGAATGGTCCCTGCTGTGAATAAGCTGAGCACATTTTTGATCAGTGCTGTATAGCTCTATTCATATTCTTTTTCAAATGAAACCTCCATGCCCAGTTGCACATCGATTGCCCTGTTACTTCAAGGTAAGCATGCACAAAGTCATATTGTGCAGGTTCAGCTCATGGGCCAAATCTGTTCACCGCACTCCACAAGCAGTGTCAGTAATATCAAAAACTACCTATCTGATGAAAAAGGGGAATATTGGATTTAGCTGCACGCCTTGGATGGTATTTGAAATGCTCTCAAGCTTTCCTAGACCTTATCCCCACAGCAGCCCTCTGAACTGGGACGAAACACAAATTCCACATCAGGTGGAGACCAGACCCTGTTTCTTTACTGTGGCCAGAATATATACTCGCTTATCTGGTTATCAACTTAAATAGAAGGCATTTTCTTGAAAGAAAACAGAAAAGAAACAGAAAAAATGAAAAAAGAAAATGGAGCATGGAAAGAGCCACCCTCCTAGGCGCCATGTGATGCTGAGCACAGCAGAGGACAGACGGAGGGATGGGACTTTGCCTTACCTTGTTGCAGTAGACACATTTGTAGGGGCGCTCCCCGGAGTGAACCCTCATGTGTTTGTTCAGGCTGGAGGACTGAGAAAAGCTCTTCCCACACACTGAGCACTGGGAAAAAAAAAAAAACCCGAACAAAGTTGAAAGGAAACACACAACAGCATAGCTAAAAAGAAAAATTAGGTATGTGGATGATGTGTGCATGTATTTTCCTACATATATTTATGTATATATTTATGTATATGCATATATTTATGTATTTATGTATGTACAAACACAGTAATTTAAGCAGTAACAATGTGAAATACAGTCAGAATTTTAATCTGGTTTTAAGAACAGATTTTTTTTTTTAAAAAGGGAAATTATGCAATATTTCAAAGCTTTTTTGTGTGCTTTCAAAGCTTTTTTTATGTTTAAAAATATTTCATTAAAAAGCCTCCTTCAGAACATTAACAGAAAATATTGACTTTCAGTAATCAAAACCTGACAATTTCTGTAAAATCATCATTTTTTCTTCAAAATGCAAATGAAGTTCTAGTTGCTTTTTTGAAGTTTTGCTCAACAAATAAGATAAACTTCCTAAAAAAAACATTTAAGGGAACCTTTTAAAATAGTAACCATTTTTCAGAAATGATGGGTTAGTCACAGCACTTAGCCTACAGCTTGATCTGTCAGAAGTGCCTCTCCTTAGAGGAGTGAATCAAGCAGCACTTCGTCCTCCGACCCAAGGACCTGCCGTCTTTGCTGCGTGGCTTGCGCTCTGCGGCCAGCAGCGATAGGACAGAACCCAATTCAGAGGGGGCTTAAGTCATCTGAGAGAGTTGCAGTGATTCAGTGCAATTTGTATGAACCCCAAAATAATTTCCCGCCTACAATAATTTGAAAGAAATTATCTTTCATAAATTCAAAATAAGCTAAGCTATGACTGATCTTGAAAGAAGGTAATTTTTTTTACTGACACATTTTCCATCTTTGCTTTGAGTTGATCTGTTCTCATATAAACTCAATATATTCAGAACAAGTTTATCTTCCTGCTGTTCTAAACTATTTCTTTCGTATGCATTCCAAAATAAATGCTCTAGGAAAGAAAGGAAAGGAAAGAAAGAGGGGAAGAATTACATGATATTTAATATCTCATATTTAACAGAATTATATTTTTCATCTGTTACTAAATCAATGTGATATTCTGAGACTATAATATTGCTGATTTAGTTATAAAAGCTTTTCCTGAAAAATTCACAGTATTCCAGGACGATCTATAAAAGAGGTATTTGGAGGATTTTCAGGACTGATTTAACTGTGCCACTTCAAGCACTGGAACTTGCCCTTCCCACGCCTTTAGGAAAAGTCTGATTTTCAGCCCCCAGTGCTCCTGGAGAAAACTGGTGCTACAGAGGCGTGTTTAGTGGAGATGAGGCAAGTATCTCAGCAAGGATTTGCTTCTATCAGCTGAAAATCTGCTCCATGCTGAATGTAAAACTTTTAACTCCTGTTGTGTCCAACAGACACAGATGTCTGTCGGTTCTCAGGCTGAAAAGGGGGGGAGTGAGGGACATGGGACATCGTCTCTCCCGATCCTGGACATGTGGAGCGCCTTCATACACAGTTTAGCCCCACACTGTGTAAGAAAAGTAGCAAAACGTGCATGCAAACATCCAAAAAGCCCAGGAGAAATATAGTTTCTTCTTTTCAAAGTCTCACTGAGACTGTGGGGTTTATTTTCCCAATATAAATCCATTAAATTTCTTCAGCTAAGCTCTGCTGCACAAGACAAACTCTTCCTGTACAGGCAGAGTGGTCCCATCAGGGAACTGCCAGGGAAACTGGAGGAGGGGAAACAACATCAGCATCTTACCTCGGCCAGAAAAGATTCCTTAATTAGTCCCCCCAGAAAAGCCGGTAACTGCGGAGAGACCCAGGAGCAGGCTCACCTTGTGAGGTCTGTGCTTTTCGTGAACGTGGAGAATATGGATCCTCAGCCTGTCTCTTTTTTCAAAGGATCGGTTACAAAGGTGACAAGGAAATTTGCGGTCCCCCTGGTCCACGCAGCGGGTGTACTTGAGGTGCTTGTCCCGGTAGTACTTGTAGGCAAAAACCTTGCCGCAGCGCTCACACTTAAAGCTCTCCCCGGCTTCTGTACAGCAGAAGGGAAAGTGCCACCTCCCCGTTACACCACAGCAAAAGGGGCTCGTTTCAAACCTGCTTCCTTGTCGGAGCTGGTACCCAGCTGGGAATTTTAAGTCTCCGGGAGGGTAATAACGGTAAACGGGTTCTGGCGATATCATTTACAAAATACACGTCGGATCTCTCAAGCATACGCATCGCTCCACCTGCCTTTCTAACGGAGGGGAAGAAACTAGAGCCCACAGCCTGCCAAAATTATTGGTTTTAGCTACTGACTTCAGCAAAGACAGGATTTCGTCCTTGTATCCCCATGAACAGCGAGCGAATGTGAAAAACCAACGCAGAGTCCCACATAAAAGCGTCTCCTCACACGGAAACATTGCCAGCTATTTCTCATCGATATTGTCCGTAAATTTTACCTCCCATCCCAAAAAGAAAAAAAAATTTGCACGTCTTTTCTATCGCTTTCAAAATACTATGGAACAAAAACACGTTTATTTGTTTTCTTTTGTATTTCAAACTGTTCTTAACAGCTGAATTTAGGAACAACACAGGAAATTTTTCAAACGTTTACACATCGTTTTCTGCCTTTAATAAAAGTAACTTTGGCTTAAGGCTTGAAATGAAGCCAACAATTTACCAGCTATCTGAACCAGGCACCTTAAGACAACAGCTACAAAAATCTCCATGCCAAATTTCCATGCCAATTTGCTTCCCTCCCTTACTGCACCCCTCCCGCACCCAGCCGACCCATCCCTCACCCGCTCCAGCTGTCCCTGCATTGGCACAAATCTGTTTTCTCCATTCCTAAGTTTTGCTTGTAAGGACGTCATACTTTCTGCACATTTTAAGCAGAACTACTCCCGGAGTAAGTGCATTTGGCATTTCTTCTGCAAGCGATATCAGCATTATCGGATCGGAACGACTTCAGCCTGCCCCATTTACTGAGACCGTTAATTGCACGAAAAATATCATTAAGTCAAGAGTGTGCAATCGTAGGATAAACCAGGACCAAAACAGAAGTGCCCCCCCAAAGCTCCTCTCCTCCCAAAACGGGACTCCCACCCCTCGAACAACGGCGCTGCGGAGCCGAGGCAAGCTCAGCCCAACAGCACCAGATGTTTTACAATCGCCAGATGAACACTTTTAGCTCCCCGAGGAAACGCGAACTAGGAGCAAAAGCTGCCAGAGCACAAAGGGGTGCCTCTTGCTCCGAGCTGGCAATCCCCGGGCTCCCCGGTGTCGGGGGGAAGCTGCTCTTCGGGGTGCTGGAGGCTGCAAGGGAAGGGGAGGGCGGGCAGACCCGGGGGACGGGGCTGCGGGGCCACCGCCACCTCAGAGCATCCCCGTAGCAGGGCCGGTCACCCACCGCCTGGGACTGAGAAGCGTTCAAAGTAAAATACAGCCGGAAAAAAAGGTGATGCCCGGGTTCCTTCACCTCCCTTAATGCGAATCTAATCCCGGCCAGACACAAGTCCATGGGAATAAGGGGCAGTGCCCCTCGAGGGGTCGCTGGCAGGCTCACCTTCGGGGTGCTGCGG